GACGAGCGCCCATTGGGACCGACGCAGGGCCGGGCTCGGGTCGTTGCCTCCGCCCGCACAGACCCTGTGGCCGGCGAGGGGAACGAAAGGGCCCGATGACACTGCTGGGACCCCCATCAGAGCCGGGACTTGAAAGTGGGCCTGAAACTCCCTCGCTGCCTTGAGATTTCTGGTCACCCCGGAGACAAAATCGCCGCTGTATTTCCTGTCCTTGAACATTTCCTGACACTGGGAAGATAACAAAGGGGAAAGTTTAAAGCAATAAACATCCCCAAACTGCCTGGCTCCCCATGTGCGTCCTGGGCTGCCGGCTCCTAAGCCAGGCAGCGCTCAGCTGATGAGAAACTGGGCTTTTCCATGCCCCGGCCCGACCCGCGCTCTGACACCTCCTTAACATCTTTTGGGGACCTTCCTCTCCCCAGAATTTTGCGGGGATTTATTTTCCCCACCTGCCAAAGACCTTACTCCCCTGTCTAGGCTACCCATGCCAGCGTGTCCACTTCTGGCTGGATGAAAAAGCGTATGCAGTGATGCCGGTCAGTCCTGAGGAGACGCTCCGAGTCTTCCTGAACTCCGAGAAAGGCTCTAGGAGAGAAAGGATGGCTGCGTTCAGCTTTTTTATTTTCTTTTTTTTTTTTAATTATTATTATTAAGCAGTAGGGGGATTTAATAAGCTTGATTGTATTATTAAAAGCCAGAAAGGTTTCCTGGGCGTGCAGAAGCCCACTGACAGGTTTTCTTCTGTTTTGATAGATTTAGTGCTGTTATGGTACACTTCTCCCTCACATGCAGTAGCTAAGACTTGAAGATTAAAGATCGCACACCTCTAGATGAGTCAAAGCCTACACCCCGGAGCAGCTAATTCATTTCGTGATTGATTTCCCCGCTGAGCTGTTTCCAGTTTCAGTCTTGTGCGAAACCTCTTCCCCTCTCGGCACATCCACCGCACGGGCTCCTCACCACGTTCCGCAAGACAGCGAGGGGAAATCTGAACCTCTGGGAACCTCAATTCCAGACACTTCTTGCAAACCATCTTTTTGGTCCACAGCTCCTCAAGTTTTAAACCGAGCAGACTCAAGGAGACTTTCTGCGTGCCCGATTGGCGAGGCTGCTCTGAGCCACCGCCATGCCGTGAGACAAAAATAGCTCTTCCGACCGGAGTGGGAGAATCGCTGCGTCCTGCGGCCAGGTCCCCTCCTCTGAACCCCGCGACGGTGAACGCGACAAGCCCCGAGGGCGGCCCAGGAGCCCTTGCTACCCCTGCGCACCCGGCCGCCGCAGCCCGGTACTGCCTCAGCCCCCAACAAGGGCATCTCACCCTTCTCTCCAGCCCCTAGAGAACCCACTTCCCCTTTTCCGAAATCAGCATATTAATAATTTCCCAAAGTTGAATTGTTTGGTGGTTTTTTTTTTCTTTTTCTCTCCTGGGAAACCGTACTAGTTTTTGCTACTAAGCAAAATCAGGACAGAATTTATAGCGGTACTTTACGGGACGGAAAGGGTTAATCGTCACCGTCGGGTTGGGGGTTGTAATTTTTCTTTTGCCCCCGTCCCCTTCCCTCGAATGCATATAATCTCATTTCAGCCCCTCAGCGTGATGAAAGCTATTGATTTCTATGTAGAGTCGCCGACTTTTAGCTGACTTTCCCAGCCCCCATCCCAAAAGTAAATAAATACGATAGAGGGGAGGGAAAAAACATGTATTTTCGGAAGTGTCTCATATATGTACAAATCTCGGTTTACGTCTCTCCATTCACGTGTGTACTGATATCCTTCACCAGGGTTTTCTTCTAAATACCTTATTCATTGAAACTGGCAGTTCCACTCATTATTCCACTCCCTTAAATCTGATTCTGATGCTGGCTAAATATAGAGCTTCGCTTTACTGGTAACGCGAATCGAATACACAGCAAGCAAATCAGTAGCACGGGAGGGGAAAAAACCCCTTGATCAAAGCCCTCCTTTTTTCCCAATCCTGGTTTGTGGGGCGGAGACAGGTTTCTCTCTTATTGCTCATCATTTGCAAAGATCAAGCTTAAACTGCAGTCACCTCTCTCAGAAGTAGTAGTTAAACCAAAATTTAGGCAATGGGGGTTAATAGAATTACAATCAGATTGAATTATTTTCAATCAAGGGTGTAACGGTGAAAAATATTTTATTTCAAATCTGGGAGGAGCTGTACTTTAAGCAGGTCAATTTTTTTTAAATAAATACAAACATCTAAGGGGGGGGGGAGGGAAGCGCATAGAATGTAGTAAGGGAAAACACCTTCTCTCTTCGAGTCTCATGAAATCCTGAAATTTTCTATTTCTCAGTCATTGGGTGATTTTTTTTTTTTTTTAATTACTCGGACGTTTTTCCAGCTCGCAGCACGCGAGGTCACCCCGGGGGGAGGTGGTGGGGTGGGGGGCGGAAGGAGGCCCCTGCCTGCCCCTCGGGGAGGGGTAGAGGATGACATTTGCGGCGCACCCGGAGGAAAGACACAAAAGGTCCGACAGGCGCGCACCGCGCGGGGCCGCGCTCGCTCGCCCCGCTGCCAGCAGAGGTCGCCGCGCCGCCTGCGCGGGGAGAGGCCGGGCGGGCACCGCGGAGCGACCCGCGGAGGGACCCGCGCCTGCCCCGGCCGGAGCGGCAGGGCCGGCAGGGGCACGAGCAGAAAGCAGACGAGCGGCGCAGGGACGACACTGCAGCCGTGGATTTCAGTGAAATTGGCTATCACTAAGGGTTTGCCCCAAACTCGTGCCAGGCTGTGCGGAGCTGCCCGGCTCAGAAGTCTTTCAAACTGCTTTTTGCTTTACTCAACTAACACAGAGAATTACTATTCTGATACCTAAATGGCTAAGTTTTCATAGTTACACGTATACCTAGTACTTTCTATATATGCATGTACACAAACATCCCCACATGTATGTATACTGCCAGTTTCTTGGGTGTGGAAGTGATCACCCAGAAGAGTTGCATTTCACACCGTTTATTTAAAAGTCGAATATGTAAATTAACAGTGTGCGCGTGTTTACAACCATATCTTCACCTCCTGACACTATCTTGAGATCATTTCAGGGTAGGTTAGTTATCTCCGCAAGCGGCAACACTGGGTCCCGCTTCTTGTTTGAAATAAACCTGGAGGGTGTGTTTGCTCCCTCAGCTTCGGAAGGGAAACATCTTGCAAAGTAAGTTAGAAATGGAAGATGGTCCGTTGATTAGTAGCTCTCTTAGCAGCAAAGGCGAGTTTCAGAACTATTTCTTGGCTGTTTCATCGCAATCAGACTTCCTCGTGGAAAATTATTCTGCATGAATGTGGCTTTGCCTCTCTTAGACCCAAACTCTGTTGCCTTTTAGAAACATGGGACGTTGAAAACAAGTATATTTTCCTGATGAACAGTGATTGGAGGGTACTTCTACCCTACGTTGATGAGGGCGGTATAATAGTCCATATGGAACAGAAGACAAAAATGGGATCTAAACAAACGCACAGGGAATGTTTAAATCCGGGTGCGGAGAGGGAGGTATCGGAAGAGCATTGAGGCGGTCGTGCTCGGGTACGGCTCTGCACAGAATAAAGGATAGGTACCGAGTAGCCGAAGTGGAAACTGCCCTTTGAAAAACACACAAAAGAAATCAGTGCCCAGGTCTAAGATGCGTTTTGCCCGGTTTGGGAAACTTTCAGAAAACTGCCTTGTGGAATCCGAGGGGCGCCGTGCGGCGCTGCGCAGACGAAGGCGCGGGCAGCGCACGGCACCTCTCCTGGCCGCGGCTCTCGGGTGAGGACTCCCCACATCGCCTCCAGGGAGCAGCGCCGCAGGTCCGCTCCGACAGCAAGTCCGCGTCTTCTCCCCACCCCCACCCCCTTTTTTTTTTTTTTTTTTTTTCCTTTCTTTCAAATAGTAAGAACTTTAAGGGATTCTCTTTGTTGGGGAAAGGCAGAAGTTCTTGAGAGGCAATTTAAGGTAAATATTTGTACCTTCTTCAATCTTGTGTTTAACAGAAATATTGAAGATTTTATCCATGAATTTAAGAGAAAGAGGCTGTAGGAAAACGTAAACAGTCCCATCTCGTGGCTGGAGTCGTGCTCAGCCAACCGGCCCTATCCTCCCCTCTTCAGGGCATCTCCGCCTGGGCAAACCAGAGCGTGCCACCCGCCTGGGAAAGATAAACATTCAGGAAGAAAACAGTTGGATTAACACCACCACTAAAAAATTTACATATATACACCATATATATACACACACACACAAATATATGCATATGTATGTATATATATGTGAGTGTGTATAAATATACGTATATGTAAATATCCATACGGAAATGCTACATGTGGCGCAGCAAGCCCGGACGGGACAAGGGGTATAGGTACCCGAGCGGGGCCGGGACGGAAAATGAAAGGTGTGACGGGAGATAAGCGACGGCGATGGAGGAGAGCGACAAGACGAAAGTATAAAGGGAAATACAAATAAGGAGCGAGGAAAAGTTGGCCGCGCGAACCCGAGCCGGGCGGCCGCGCCGCCAGACGCTGAAATATGATAATGGGGCAGCTGCGCCGCGCCGCCCGCAGCCAATGGCCGCGCGCGGGCGTGACGTGCCCGCGCGTGACGTCGCGCCAATGGCGAGCGGGCTGAGTTGGAGCAGAGAAGTTTGAGTAAGAGATAAGGGCGAGGCGAGTGCCCGCGCCGCCAGCGCCCAGCCCGGCACCGCCGCGCCTCCGCACCGCACCGCACCGCGCCTCCGCGCCGCTCCTGCGCCGCCACCGCTCCGCTCCGCACTGCTCCCGCGCTGCTACGCGTGGACGGACCCCGCCGCGCCCCCGGCGCCGCGCCTCACCGCGCGTCCCCTTCTCTCTCCGCAGCCCTGACAGTGTCTCCCACGCCGGTGGTGTTTTGTACCATTTTCTTTTATTTTTTCCCCTTTTTTTTCCGATTTCGATTTTTTTTTTTTTGCCTCTGTTAATACTTCTATTTTTTTTTTATTATTATTATTATTGTTATTCTTGTTTTTAGCGACAGCTTTCAAACCTACTTTGGGGTCTTAAAACGAAACCGTACACCATTTCACTGTGGACATTACACCCTCTTACAGATATGGGAGACATGGGAGACCCACCAAAAAGTAAGGCGGAATCTTTACCGTTGTTGGAATAAATGTGCTGTCTATTGTAATGGTCTCAGCAGACGAACTGATGAAGTGATGAACTTCATTTAAATGGTAGAGAAGGTGCCTTTGTTACCATGCCTGCATGCTTGCTCTGTCGTAGCCTTATGTGTTAACAGCCTGGGGTCCTACTCTCTTTTAAAGTTTGGGGAGCAGACAGGATTTTGATGGGATCTCCAACAACGGAGCCTTAAATTCTTCTCGTGATAGACTGCAGTGAGGCTGTCTGACTATCCAGCACCTAGTCGGTCTAGGGGTATTAGACTTGCAAAAGAGAGCAAGTGACAACCGTAATGATGCTTGTTCTTGCTAGAAGCCTCGACTCCCTTCTTCTGAGGTAAAAGGCTCAGTGGGAAGTGCACCCCACCATGCTTCATCGTTTCCAGTCAGAGCCTCTTAAAATACAAATGAAACACATAGGTACTCTTCTCGTAAGGCAAGGCTTTCAAACAAGTCAACAATAAAATAAAAATTAAACAACCTGGGAGTTTGGAGTTTTGATTCCATGCAAGGTTTTTGAAATGAGGACCTTCATCCCAAAGATTTTTCACATTTGCATTTTTAACATATGTTCCGCCTCCTTCCTAAGCGAGGCAAGGTTTTGATAGCACGCTATAATTACCATCCAGAAGTGTAATATTCTTTAAAAAAAAAAAAAAAAAAAACCAAAACCCAAAAACCCCAACAAACCCCCCCCCCCCCCAAATATACAAACAAACAAAAAAAGGCAGAAACCAAACAACGCTCCCACAATACGCTTTATAAGGGAATGACATTAAAAGTGTGTTTATCTCTGTAGGAGAGTAAACGGTTAGTCAATCATGTATTTATTTTCATTTCAGAAAAACGTCTGATTTCCCTATGTGTTGGTTGCGGCAATCAAATTCACGATCAGTATATTCTGAGGGTTTCTCCGGATTTGGAATGGCATGCGGCGTGTTTGAAGTGTGCAGAGTGTAATCAGTATTTGGACGAGACCTGTACGTGCTTTGTTAGGGATGGCAAAACCTACTGTAAAAGAGATTATATCAGGTACGCCATTTACGTTGTTTAATTTTCGGTGAGAATTTATTTTTCTTTTAAACTTTAAAAATCTGATGGAGAAATAAAGAGGGAAAACTATGAGGAAGCAGGTATAAGATAATTGGTATGTTTTGATGTGTTTTCCTATGAATAGACGTGCGAGGAGAAAAGTTAGCAGCGAAGTTTTTTATTTCTTCTTTTCAAATGCAAATAACTGTAGTACTAGAACTAGGTTGGGGACCGTGTAGGACCTTTCAGAGGACTTTGGCAATGCATCCTGTGATTCTAACCGAGGGGATAATCTTAGATAACAAAGAATATTTTCAATAGTGTAGATACTATGAGCAACACGGAACAGATCACTTTCTAAGACAACCTGAGAAATGCATCTCTGTGTTTCTGCAAAGACATAGTGACATTCAAAAGAAAGGCACTTCAAGCATGTATGCCGTAAAACATAATACACGGGTAGGAAAAAAACCAAAAAACCCTACTTAAAATAGGCCTATCAAAAAAAAACAAAAAAACAAAAAAACAAAAAAACAAAACAAAACAAAAAGAAAACAAAAACAACCCCCAAATTTCCTTCGGACTGGAGGCTCCTTTTATGGGGACGTTAAAACCTAGACCGAAATGTTTCTTAGCTAAAATAACTGACATTTAATCTTTTTTAAATATTAACCCCTTTGGTGATATCTGACTGCCTTTTCTTTCTTATCTTATCTGTACTGATGAATTAGACAGAGCAGATCAAATTGCCCATCATCTGTTCGCGAACAATTGGGTATATTTAGATAATGGAACCGCTTCCTTCCTCACATTAAAATCTGGTAACTGATAAAATGTGAGAGTTGCCAATGCTGACACTATAGAGAAACCAAAGCAGGAATTTCGAGTGTGTTTATTATTTGTGCTCCTGGGTCATGCTGATCCGTTTCAGTGTCACCTACTGGGTTTGCCAAATCATAAGTTTCTATGACACTGAGGTATGAACAATTTTAATTTTTTTGCAGAAAATTTTGGAAGCAAATCACCTAGCCACCTAAGATACCTTTCTGATTTCTGTATAATTCTGAATTGAAATAAAACCCTCGAGTCTTTCCTTCTCTAGCGCACAGTTTGTAAGCAGACCATTCCTTCAAGCCATTGTGAGATTATTCTCCAAGTTCTAAAATGGCGAAAATTAGAGCTTTTTTTTTTTTTTTAATTCTTTACTTGTAAAAGAACGCTGGAACAGTTCTCTTAAATGTTGTCCTTTTTCTAAATTGAAATGAAAAAAAAAAAAAAAACAAAAAAACAAACAAAAAAAACGTTTGGACCGAAATGTGTTCACTTACCTCCTTATAGAACTGAGCGGAAGAAATCTGAGCAGGGAAAAAAATAATCAGTTATTTTAAATTAATACAGAATACATTTAATTTGCTACAATTTAAAAAGAAAAAAGTGCATTGCGTGCAAGATGGCTTTGAATTAGACCATGAGCCAGTCTCTTAAGTGTCAAACCTGTGGGCAACCACTGCAACTTTTGTACCTATGAATGCGCCTACTTTATGATTACTCTGTTCTTTTGCTGTTCAGCCTTTTGGGTTTTTTTCTTCTCAAAACGGTGTAATTCGGGTATATGTAGTTCTGAATATAGGATTAGAACACTTCTATAACCATAAAAGCTAAAGAAGTGTATACTCACAAGCATACATTACAGACTGTATCTCTCAAGAAGTATACTGGTGAGGAAATTGGTGGGGATAAATAGTAGTTCAGTTTTAAGAACAATTTTCACAGTTTATGTACCAGTACCTTTTTCAGTGCATGTACCCGTACATTTGTGGTAAGATGTTAATTTTAATCATACCAAGGACTTCTGGCTCATAAGCATCCTGTGGGAGAAGAGAGAGTATTCAGTAAGACACCCGAGCTGGAGCATTTTCTAGTGTTTATCTACTGGTGGGTGAGCTGTCGTCCTCTCCTCCATGGGAGACGAGGAACCCGCCACCCACTCCAGAAACTCGTAATTTGCTTTGTGGGGCTGTCAGCGAGATGTTGTCCTCCCGGTCCTACCGCAGCGCTTGAGCCCCGGCTCGAGGTGGGAGCGTCAGGAGGAGGGGAGACGGGGCAGGGACGCTGAGGTAGAGACAAACTGCAGAGTCAGAGCACCGAAACTGCCTTTTTGTTGGTGACAGGAGAGAGGACTTGCGCTACTATATATGTAAACCTGAGGAGGCATGTGTGTTATGCTTATATTGTCGATTTAAGTTAATCTGGTGAGAGGAGACTAGGGGAAGAGACCCTGCGCTGGCAGTTACCCCGCTGGGTCCCGGAGGCTGAGTTGACGGCAGTCCGCACACACATCAAGCGGCGCAAATCTTGAGTGGGTTCCGTGCGAAAAGTATCATAATTTGGTGAAGCTGGCACGTTTGTGTCTCGGATGGCAGCTTCGGCAGTCTCGCCTTTCCCTGGTGTGCCCGGGTAGTCTAGTTCAGACCCAGGCCAGGCTAGGTCAAGTGAGGAGGCAAAGAGAGGGCAGGGACGGCCCTACTCCTGCAGCAGCCAGAGCGCTGGGGCAAGAAGGAGAGGTTGAATATCCTCGGGAAGAAACGGGGTCTTTTTTTGTTTCTTCTTACACCTCTGCCTCCCAAGTCTCCTCTTTCACCGGTGTGTTTGTGTCCACTCCGCCTTTTATAGCTCGGGGATCAGGGCACCGACTGAGAGTGCTTATTCCTTTCCTCTTCTGGCTTCTGTATTTTCCATGCTTTTAAAAGCAGTGGATTGCGTGTGGCGCGTCTACGCGGGGCCAGGGGCTGCCCACGAGCGGGAGTGAAAACCTCTTTCTTTTTCCCTTTCCTTTCCCACCCCCCCCCCG